ACACGACTTTCAGCTGTTGTTCTCTTTAAGATCAATATGTAAAATATACGATCTTTATTGTACCCTGTAACACCCGTCTCCTCATTTAAGTACAATCTATTAAAAGTTCAGAAAGTTCATTAGGTCCCATTTTAAGAGGTTTCCCCGTTTGATTCCGGAATTTCCTTCACAAAAACTCACTTACAATGCAAGTCAGGACATCACAATAAATGATTCAATGTTTCAGACGGCAGCGCAATATTATATGATATATAATATATAAACTGTATGAATTCCATCTAACGGAGGTCCTATTCCTTATTATTATGGTAAGTAGTAAATCCTGAAGATCATTGGTGAGACTTGAGTAGTCCGCCGTCACAACGATATCCCCTATGGTGAGATGTTCCCACCATAATAACTCCAGTGCGTTTCGCGTGAAGCTCCTGTCACATATTGTATGTATGCCGGGATAACATCCCGCATAGAGCTTTCTCACAAGTTATTCAACACACACACGCCTCAAGTGAACGCACAACCCTCCAGAAGTTGCGACAGCTGCAGGCCTGTAATGCCTCCTCGCAACACAACTATCCTAGGGGACACAGTTAATTTATCAATATAATCAACATACAGAAGATACCTGGCACAACGCTTCATATTTAACATTCACTTTACACCAGGCATACACCGGTCATAGTGCTCACCAATTCCATTAACAAATGAAGTCAAGTACATACATATAACAGCAATATATACCTTCACATCAAGACATAACCACTCACTCCTGGGAGCATTCCCCGATACATTGTCCACAGGAGCCTCAGTCCATACACAAAGTGGTCATCTTAACCTCATTTCCAACAGCAGCACTCAGGTTACGATATTTACAATGACACTGGTCACCATAACCTGGATACCCAAGAAATAAATCACATTTAATAATTAGCTCCTTTCATGATAAATTTAACAAATCCTTGATACAAGTATGTTGTGTACGTCATTATCCATCTTCGCAATGCGTCTAACCTTACGTTGCGTATCCCCGGGTTCATCGATTGCGCCACTGAGCATATACGCTGCATGCGCTCCGGATCGATAACTCGACATTATAAGGGCTACTTGCACTCAATCATTAGCCCGAGAGTCTATTAATAATTATCTTTTTAAGTTCTACTTTATAACAACTGACCGACTAAGATCAAGTAATGGGATCGGTTCTTATATCTAGATCGGTCGTAAAGTATATCAGCCAATCAGGTGTCACAGCCTGATTCCCTTAAGTTAACCCATCGGAGTATAAATTTAGTACAGTACTATCAATATTACTCTTTTATAAATATATCAAACTTATCGACAATGTAGTTTAGGTTAAATATTCATTTAACTATATTGATCAACCCAAATAACTACCAAATCAACAATTCATATACAAGTAACTGTTACGTGCAAATTTAGTTAGCAGAGTCGATCCCAATTCTCGTATTATAAAATTAACTAAATCAATTAAATCAATCAAATTAACCAAGTCCAAGTATAACAGCTTTGTTACCATTACATTATTATTCCACATAATAACTTAATTTATATTTCAATAATTGTGGTATTTATGTTCACAGAGCGAAGCCAACGAGGCTCTCCCAATTCTATATGTACCACGTCATAATCGGCTCCTCCTCAACAGAGGCCCGCCACAGGGTTACCTCAAATAATCAGCTCGGCAAATCCCAGATTAACAGGTACCTCAGGGTGTGTCTGGATGGAGTCCCGGCGTCTCTACTAGTCATCAGAGCAGCCAGGGAAGACGTCTAGCCCATAGCAGATAAGAGTAGGAGTAACTTACTCCGATCGCTCTCCATCGAAGATGACATGGTTATCTCGGGCGCAAATACAGCCCTCTGCTTGGAACACTCCTCAATGGGTCAATAACTCGACATCAGACCGCGTTACATCCCGCAAGTGCCGCGCATTTCAAGGCTTGTCAAGGCTCGCAAAGCCGCCATTACGTGTGCAGGTATCACCGAATACACACTATAGATTATTATTAGCATTTCCACTTTGATAATTTATACATCAATCGATGCGCGATCACTGCCGGAGTGTTTTATTCGCAAAATAGGCATCAGGAGATGCTTTAGAACACTATAAACACTATATTAAAACAGAGCACGTTGAGACACATTATTCCACGGCCATCGCCACCAATTCCCCCATCAGAAAATACTGCTTAAAAATAAATTGATAAAAATTTATGTTATTTAATATTTCCAGAATTATTCCATTGCAAAATTTAAATTTTGAAATTTTGAGGGACACCTTGTATATAGCATATAATGTGTAATATACAAAGATAATACAATTATTATTAATTATACAGAATAATCCATATAATTAATTTTATATAATGTTTTCGTTAAATATAAATAATGTTTTTATGTATAAAATTAATTTAGCAATATAAAAACAATGTTTTTATTCGGTTGTACAATATTCATTTATTAAGATAAACATTTATAAAGATGTGCATTAGTTTTCATTTTCATCATAACGCGATATCTATAGCAGTCAGTACGTAAGTATGTACGTATCGGACAGTAAGTCGGCTGTACACACACACACATGCAAACAGACGAACGCGAACATATCAGTGCGCGGCAGCTCAGTCTCAGTTTGTCGCGTGTGTTTTGTACATACGCGTAACAAGAGATTATCGCGCGCTCAACCGTTAGAACGCGTTATAACACGTTGAAGTCAAAAAACTGTGTTTCTGTGTTTTTAATTTTTAATATATATAGTGTGTCCACATAATGGGACAAAAATATAATGATAAACGCTTGCCTCTCTCTGTCCGAAGACTTTCCTTAAAAAGAATAAGGGTCAAGAGGTTAGTATTATTTATATATAAGGTATATTTACACAGGGTGTCCGAAAATTCGCGCAACACCCTTTAAGGGAAGGTAGAGGGTGTTATTCTGAACAGAAAAGTCCTGTAACATTTTTTTCTATAACGCTTCATAAAAGAGTTATTATTGAGTAAAGTCTGATCAATCAGCGCCGACTTTTACCTGGGCGCACGTCAGTGAGCCCCGCGCTGCGAAGTGTGCGCCGCCGCACACTACTAGGCGCGCGACTCACCGACGTGCGCCCGGCTAAAAGTCGGCGCTGATTGATCAGACTTTACTCAATAATAACTCCTTTATGAAGCGTTATAGAAAAAAATGTTACAGGACTTTTCTGTTCAGAATAACACCCTCTACCTTCCCTTAAAGGGTGTTGCGCGAATTTTCGGACACCCTGTGTAAATATACCTTATATATAAATAATACTAACCTCTTGACCCTTATTCTTTTTAAGGAAAGTCTTCGGACAGAGAGAGGCAAGCATTTATCATTATATTTTTGTCCCATTATGTGGACACACTATATATTAAAAATTAAAAACACAAAAACACAGTTTTTTGACTTCAACGTGTTATAACGCGTTATAACGGTTGAGCGCGCGATAATCTCTTGTTACGCGTATGTACAAAACACACGCAACAAACTGAGACTGAGCTGCCGCGCACTGATATGATCGCGTTCGTCTGTTTGCATGTGTGTGTGCGCACAGCCGACTTGCTGCCCGATACATACATACTTACGTACTGACTGCTATAGATATCGCGTTATGATGAAAATGAAAACTAATGCACATCTTTATAAATGTTTATCTTAATAAATGAATATTGTACAACCGAATAAAAACATTGTTTTTATATTGCTAAATTAATTTTATACATAAAAACATTATTTATATTTAACGAAAACATTATATAAAATTAATTATATGGATTATTAATTGATAAATTACCAAACTTTAATTCATGTGTGAGAGAGTAATATACATGTACGCACTAACATATCGCAATTTCTAATATCTTTTTTCTTTCGATCATACACTTACTCTGTTTCTCTCTGTATCTCTCTTTCTAATCGTTCGCTTACTACGTACTGCATATCGCTTCCCTGCCGAAAATGGTCGATTAAAACGGATTTAAAAAAATGTAATCCGAATCGATCGGGATTTCTGCACCGAAAATGCGGTATTAAAACCGATTGAAAATAGTCAAATTGAATTTAGTACGCTTCAGACGGGTTTAATGTTGGATGATATATCTCCACCTCAAT